TTTTGTTTGCTACTTAATGTTCGACTCGATCACAGCACTAATGGGACAAGGACATGTCGATTAGTTAGTAGATATGACCACCACTTTGAGGTTCTTTCACATAGTAAGAATTGTTCAATATTTCACTGTTGCTTACTCGTTTCCATCTCTACAACTTTTAAAATATTCATGAATGAGAAATGTCATCTTAAGAAGATCTCTATTAAATAGTTAGTGAGCAATGATGCAAGCCATGATCTTAAAAATAACTTTTCTAGTTTCTTAATTTTATCTATCCCTTTTTGACCATATTAACCTAGGGAAACTGTTGTATTTTATTGGATCCTCTTTAATAGACTATATATACCGGTTTTTGAGTAACATGGGCTAGCCTACAATTATTTAAATTGTATAAATTTAAATAAATTATATTAAGAGAAAATAATTTATCTATTTATTTTTCTAAATCATAATTTATTTATTTATTTGTTTATTATTAAATAATAATTTTTCATCTTATACAGATTCATTTTGCTATATCCAATGTATTATTAGATTATTGTAAATATTTAAATTTGTATTAATATTACCTTAATACTGCTTACACTTAAAATTACATATATATTTGGTTTTTTTTTCTTGTTTGGTTTTGGTTTATATACAAATTATTAAACTTAAATTAAAGTCCATGACATTTATAAATTTGCTTGCATTAATTGTATAATATTTTTTTTTATAAAGATTTTTTTATATATATTTTTTTTAATAAAATTTTTATATGCTTAAATAACTATATTTCTATGTTAATTCATGTTTTTTATTGAATGCATCACATATTCCAAAATCGACTACAATAAAATGATTTTTTCATTATTTTTCAAAATTATTTAATTCTTCTGTAATTCTAGCTTAAAATGAATATTAATTTTTTATGAATGTCTTATCATAATTATTTTTTTGAATATCATTTAGTATTAATAACCAATCATTTTATATATAGTATTAAAACATTTTTAAGATTCTTTGATGCGTGGGCGCCTTATCGACGACTTTCCGATTTATCTTGCATTGGATGATATATTAAACCGAACTCTACTGCAAGTACATTGCACTCTTAGTTAAATACGTTAAATATATCAAATTTTATTTAATAACTATTTTATACTATTTACACTTATTAAATAATGCTTCATTTTTTAATTTTTAATTTTAAATATTTTTTTTTAGTTATTTTTCTATTACATATTATTTTTTTTTCATTATGTATTGAATTTTACATACAATTCAGTGAAATGATTTTATTAGCTTTGCTGTATGAAAGGAATTTAAATAAATAAAAAAATAAATAATTAATTTGTTAGTGTTTGAACAGTTTATTTTTTAGGCCAACGTTTTTGTTGATTTATATTTTTTATTTATGCATAAATAATAATTGGTAATTGGAACTATAAGTCCCTTTAATTATTTCCGGTAAATATGTTAATATTGAAAATAGCTTTGATGAGGGGATTATATGAGAAAAAACATATAAATATGATAATAAATTCCAAAATAAATATAAAAAATATCTATTAAATATAATGAATAAGCAACGCAACACTATTTTAAATAATTTTGAAAACGACAGAAATTTAAAAATTATAAATACATATAATAACAGATGAAAGAATAAATGATTATTAAGTTTTGAATATGGATTATTTATCATTCAGTTCTTTGATAAGATGAATAGAAGACTAGCTTTCTGGAGGGAATTCGAAGTGATCATCAGTGACCGATCAACTTGGAGAAATAATGAAATTATTTTAACACAAGGCTAACACTTATGATATACGGATGGGTCCAAAATGGCAGGTGACAGTGCAGAAGCAGAAATTATAGGACTAAAATTCCGCAAAGCAATCGTAATGGAAAAAATTGCATCCATTTTTCAGTTAGAGAGCCATGCCTTAGAGCTATATGCGAGAGTGTGCCAACGCAGGAGTACCACAGGTCCTGAAATATGCATTCCTTCGGACAGCCAAATAGTTCTAAAATCTTTATATTTAGCATACTCTTCATTCTAATCAAAGTTGACCTGGGAATGCTTTCAAATTCTTAATACTCCAGCAGCGAAGAATCACGTTACTCTTATGTGATAACAATAACAGAGAAATAGCGGACTCTCTAGCAAAAAAGGGTGTTACCCCTCTTCATAAATAACTTCATAGCTTCATAAATAACTTAATATGGGAGAATGGGAGAAACGAAATCTACTTGAACACTAGACAGCCCAAACAAGTATGCAGCAGTCAAGAAGATTCATAGTTTCAAAGTTGATTCAAAGTTGACGATATCCTTAACCTAAGCAGAAACGATATTAAATTCCACATTACTTCTTACAGGACACTGTAGACTTAATTACAACATGACGAATATAGGTCCGGTAGAAAGTGATTCCTATTGACTCTGTCATGAGGAAAAGGAAATATCAAAACATGTTCTATTCAACAGTCCAGCGGCGGCAAGACCTAGGCTTAGCTACGTTGGAAGCGGGATCTTGGTCCCAAATCAAATGATTGAAATTAATCTCACAACAATTACGAGATTTATCAATAGTCTTTTTTTTAGAATTGTTTTAGTTGGGCTTTTAGGGCCACAGTAGATTTTTTCGTTCGGATTGGATTCATAGTCTATTATTTAATAATGATTGATCATTCATTTCATAGTTTTAGATTGCAATCTCTAAATTCTGAATTTAATCTCTGAATTATTGGAAGTTTTTAGATCAATGCATCACAAATTCAAATTTTATGACCATCAATGTTTTGATATTAACAACTCTGCTGTTTTAAGGAAACAGAATGAAAATAGAAGCTGACGGAAATATATTAGTCCTTAACAACTGATTTTAAATGATAAGTAATCCCTTCAATGAGGTGCTTTTAAAATAATAAGTGTATTTTAAAGTGTGGTTAATGATAATTAATGTTTCCATTTGGCAATGCAGCAACAGAAATATAGACTATTCTAAAATAGAACTACTTAAGAAACTTAATTGATCATTATTGATATTTATATGATAAAATCAAACCACAATCTATTGCTCATTAATATTTTCAAAACTAATAATGCAGTTTATAAAGAATACTTAAATAAGAAAACCTACCACAAATCCATGCTCAGAACAAACAAAAGATTAACCATTTGTCGTATAATAGTCTACATAATATACATATAGCCCTGACCAAAGAAAGCTTAAGACTTGACATGACCATTTGCCGTATGACTGTTGTCTGTACAACATGCTCTATAAGCATAATCAGAGAAAGCATAAGACTTGACTTCACATGATCCTTTGTCGTATGATTGTCTGTATAATATGCATCCATGGCTGCAACCATGTGATTATCTGTATAACAAGCTTTCAGTGTTTTGACTAAAGAGAGCATAAGCGTGTCGTTTTCTTTGGTCTTATAAGACTGACGTGATTATTAGTCATATTGTGATAACACAATGTGCCTGTGCTCTTATTTGAGCATAAGTGGGCTTTTTTGGATATAAGGTCGCCACTTCAACCTACCTACCTACTCTATTGTCTGCATAACATAACCTTTAGAAAGTTTTTGTTTAAGTTTTTCAATACGTTTGAAAAAATTGTTTCTTTTAGAAGTAAAATTTATGCATCAAAGACATATTATTACTTATAATTACACCCCTCTATTATACCCCATAAAGCCTTCATTCTCATTTGCATGGTACTATAATTTTATGCGTTGAGCTTATCTGAAAATTGTTGCTTTGTTTTGCTTAAATTTTTTTGGTTTTTAAATATTTTACTATTTAAAAATTTTTTTTTCTACAAACAGCATAACCGTAATCAATTGCCTGCCAATTAAATGTTAAAATAATTTTTAAAAATATATTAATATTAAAAAATAAATAGTATAATTGAAGAGTCCTTATTGCCAATTGTACTCGTAGCGTAAATATCGGGGAGTTAACATTTTTTATTATTAATTAAATAAACTGCATTTAATTAAAATTAATTAATTTAAATAAGCAAATTGTGGTTTGACGCCTTTATATGAAATCTGTGTTGTGCAAAAAAAATGTTTAACTAAAAAAAAATATTGTCCAAGTTAAAATATTCAAAGTAAATATTAACAAATAAATATTGACAAAGCTGTACGCAGTCAAAATAAATAAAGTATTTTGTAAAAAATTAAATATGTAATGCGAAAAAAAGCCAATAAAAATCTGATATGAAAATATTTAAAAAAAATTCCAGATTATATTTATAAAAATATTTTACTTAATTTACAATTACATATTTTAATATAAATACGAGCATTCGGGATCGCATAAAATATGCAAATAATATTTTATTAAAAAAATACGATTTCCTATGCTACAAAAGTCCCAAATAATGCGAAAAACACGTAAATTATTTAATTTAAAATAATAATAATATTTTTTATATAAAATATATTTTATGCGACCGCATTTAATGCATTTTATTAAAAATAGAAGAGTTAAATTATGGTAAAAAAAAATTATATATAATAATTTTATTAAATTTTTAAGTATTTTTTCTGTACTGACAAGATTTTTTTACATTCAACTCAATGATTTCAACACATATTTATTATCCATTTCACTACAATTAAAAGCCTTTGGAAAGCTTTATTATTATTTAAATTATTTTAACATTTACAATTGTCCTTAAAATACATAAATACGCAAGTGTATGCAAGTGTACCTCTGTACCTGTATGTCTAATAAGTCTTAATTTTACTATAATCAGCTTACAGCGCTAAGTATAGGAATATTGAAAAATAAAATTTGCTATGAGCTACACTACTTCGAACAAAACCAATTCAATCAATTCCAATTCAATGGAATTCAATTTTAATGATATGAAAAAAATTAATTAAATCCTTTTCAATGCAAATTAATTTAATTTAATTAAATTTAATTTAATTTTTATTCTCTCTGAAATTAATGAAAACTAAAAATGAATTAATGATATCAGAGATGAGCTTAACATAATCATTTTATTAAAGTTCAGTTTATCTACGAAACCATAATTAACCTATTAGAAGTGTTGCGGAGAAATAATATTCAAAGCAAGGATCTGCAGTGGATTTATTCAGTTGCAGTGGCAACAAAAGCGGCTACACTCAAAGCTGCCGCTTCATCTTGTAAATTCGTTGATTGCATGTGTTGCATGCAAACTTTGTGTTGTTGCTATTGTTGCTGCAAGTGTGGAACCAGGATGTCGTGTTGCTGCAGTTGTTAGCACCGTAGTTGCTGTTGCAAACAAATGCTGTAGACAACATGTGAATATGGTGAAGAGCATGCAACAAATACTGCAATAGAAATTGCTTCTACTCATGCTGCTGGAGTTATGCTGCATTGCGGCAGGATGCTCACCTGAAATTAAATTAGAAAGTTTTGTCATTAAAATGTTATTAAGAATTCACTTAAGCATTTAAACAATATTTAGTTATGAATGCCTTATGTTATTTATTGCTACATATTTACTAATTAATTTTAATTAACTTCTTGTAATCACAAACCATAACTTCCTATCAACAACTAGTGATTTATGGTGAAACCATGATGTTTTCACAGCAACACTAAAGCGTTGACTATATAGTGATGTTCTAGAAAGGAGTGTTTTTAGGTGTGCTTAAGTTAGGATTTAAAGGGGCGTGTTAATGCATACATCAATACTTACAAGCGAAGACTATTCTGATATTGCCTATTCTGATAACTTTGATAACTTTGTTTGTCAATAACAGATACCTCTCTGTAGTGTAGTGAATTATAACAACAAAATTTTTTATTATTTTAATTAATTGAAGTTTTGACACGTATTTGGAAATACTCGAAACTGCTGTGTATACATAAATACATAGATTTCTTTATGTTATGTTGAGCGTTTTCCGAGTAAGTGCATCTGGGCACTTTTACTCCTTGATAGCTGGAGGTTTTTTTTAGAGTCCCATCAGTCTCACTGACTAATTTGTGTATTCCTCATAAGTTTCGTGATTATTCAATGACTGATCTAAGATCTGCCTACCGTCCCGTGTGCTACGTGATTACTCTGAAATTAGCTAGTGCTAAGTAGTGTTTTTTTACCGGATGTATTCGAAGGTCTCCTAGCATGTCATTCATGCGAATGTACCATGGCACTTAAACACTCTTCGGAGAGCCTAACTTTTAGCAACTTAGAGCTTCTGGATAGCCGAATCTGCAGCTTTGCTACAAGCGACACATGAGACATATTAACTATCAAGTCGTCATGCCAGACCTTGTCAAATGTCTTGACGATGTCACAAGTAATCATACCCGTTGATTCCATTCTGTTCATGGCTGACTGTAACATCTGAGCCGTTTGTACCAGTTGCAATTCTGTGGAGAGGTCTTTCGCCACATGCGATGCGTCCTCTAGGGGTTACAGCCTCCCCCCGAGGAACTGCTGTATGATCAGTCAAAAAATTTAATTAATTAAAATAATAAAAAAATTTTGTTGTTGTAGTTCACTAATGTTCAAAGTCTCTCTCTTAAATACAATAGCTTTAATTTAGTGAAATAATCACTGCCATCATAACTGACGTTAAAATGCAATTTAAACATTAGTAATAGTATTCCATTACGTACATTATCTTCACAAGAAATTAAAGAATTAATGAACCTTAGGAAACTGCTAATATTGTATTGTATTGGTAACAAAGTAGTTACCAGTAAAGATCCCACTATTAACTATTTTATGGTAAAAGTATTAGGTCAGGTTAGGTGTAAAGAATGCGAGTTGTAGCAAATATTATTATTTCTAATCGGAGACAACTATTGCCTATAAATAATGATTGACCCTGAAGTTTCTAGAAAGAAACGAAATGTACTTAACATTGTTTTCAAAATAGTATAACATGTTAAAGTATTTGGTTTTCTGTGTAAAGTTAAGGGGATCCGATAAGTCTACTATTGTTGCACAAATCTACAATGTATCTATGACCTGAAGCCTAAATAAGAGCGTTATCAGATAGTTAGCTTACCTTATTAATTTCCGTATTCTATATGCTATTACCAATTTAATGGATATTTCACAAAAATAAAAAATAGTGGCGCTATCTAGCGGTAACTAGAACATGACATTTTTAATTTGGTTAATTAATCAATGATTGATAATTTCCCTTGTGGGAAATTTGTTTTTAAGTGTTGCATTCGATATTCTTTGGCTTAAATTAGTTGATTTATATATAATAAGTTCATTTATATTAAATATCTTTGTATGGTGACTTTTCCTCTTTAGCGGCCTTAATAAGCAAAAGTGCTCAAATGAGACAAAAGAAAGCATGGTTCCATAGAAACTTTTTGTGAATTTTACTTTAAATATTGCAATTTCAATTCCACGAATTTACTGAATTGTTTAATTACATTATGCAGTTATCATATAAACTAACAGTTAGATGTAAGCAAGTAAGCAATTCATTTGCAATATTATTTTCTGTATGAAGGATATTGAATCCTTAGCAAAACCAAAACTGATATTTTTTCTCTATTTAGGTATAAATTTTTTTTTTCAAAATGTCATAAGTACTACTCTTGGCTTTTATACTTTTCAACCAATTTACTAATTCACTTGATTTGTACACAATTTATTATGCTTATATCCATTTACGCATTGTGTCCATCATTGCGGTTTTATGACTTCATTGAAAATTGGGTCAGCAATTGTTTGTGGCTATGAAACTGACAAAGTCACCATGGCAATAATATGGAGAGTCACATTTCCATACCAGAGTGCAGTTTTATGTTGTGCGGGCTTAAGTGTCACTCAACTGACATTAACAGTTTTTAGTGTCATAAGCGTTTTGGAGCAATAACAGTTGACTTCACTAATTAAATGTGAAATCAGTTCGATTTGAAAAGTGGAAACTATATTGCTAGAGTTTATTAAGAACTGAGTGTATTTAATGGTTATTGAAATATTTATTTAATTTTACTGCTTCTCCAAACATGTTCGGTTATCAAAAAGAAAAAATTGGATTAAAATTATTATGGACTATTTAAAAACTTGCAATTGAAAATATTTTTTACACATATGATTTACTTTCACTTAATATCTTATTTGTATTAATTAAAATTAAAATTAGTTGTAAATTAAATAATTTCTTTTTTAATATTAATATCTGATGATCATAATACATTAGCCTACTAGCAATTTCCTTCATAGTGCACAACATTGATTATCGTTGGGGTTTCAAGTTGGTAGCTAATACGTCTAATACGCTTTCTGGATCTCTGATCTGGATCTCTGATCTGGATCTCTGATCTGGGTGTCGATATTTTCTTGAAACTTGTTAAATTGGTTAAAAGGTAATAGCAAGACTGAAATCAATACTAATCGGCCATACATTATGTGGAACGTAGAGCCTTATTGTGGAATAAGTTGTTCCACATAGACGTGTCTGATAGAAAAGTACCTTGTAACCAAAAGAATCGCTAACAAGACTTCAGGTAATCGCCAAGCTAAATAGTTGCTTTGTCTGTAGAACTACTGTTGTGCACCCCTTTTAAGTAGAACAGAGTTGATAGTTGATAGTAGGTTATCATATAGTCAACAAGGCCTGCTGTTTTATCTTCACTAAATCGGTACGTCCAAGTACACAAAATTTTGACTCAGCTTGGAGATGAATACTTAGAGTAAGTATTTTTTTTAGATTTAGACTAGCAGACCAACCTTATAGGAGATTCTATTCCCATTTGAACCTAAGATGCTAAGATTATCAGCTGATATTTTTGTTTTCATTTAAAGTGTGGAATGTTTTAAGTTCAAATAGGGTCGTTAAGAAGTGCTATAGTCAGCTATAGTCACAGTGCTCTACTCCACTGATACCCAGTACCGCATACATTTTTTATTCCACTCTATTCTAATAGCATTTTATTTACATATATTACATTGTTTTGAGATTATTTTTATTATTTTTGAATTTTAAAGCGGAGTATAACCCTATACTTTCCTTCTCCATTTCAATATCCCACTGTTTTAATATAATCTCTTTCTACAGATACTGATTTATATAGATTATAAAGTAAACTAAATTAATTCTTAAGATATTAAGAGTCAGATATTAACATAGTATCATATGCAACTTAGCTACAGTCTAGGAGAAAATAATCACTCCCTGATCACTTTAATATCTCTACAATAGCAACCATACCTAAAAGGAGTTTTGATGTCAATGATATAGTTGCTCAAAAAGTATAGTACCTACCTATACTGAAGTGGATTAAACTTTTACAATTAGCTAAGAACACCGTTTTGCTTACACACAACTACTAATTGTGGACATTTTGGAAAAAATTGGTTCTATTAGTACCAGTCTGTTGAGATGTAAGAGTAATTCATAATTTCATCCAAAAATAATTTTAAACAATATATAAAATTTTTGCTGCTAAAATATTATCTTTTTATATAAAAGCTAAGCTATTACTGAGATTTATGAATTCATCTCAAGCCATATGCTCTCTATACATATATTTATTTTTCTTCTAGAGTAAACACAATATTGTGGCCTATGCACTCTTCCTGGCATAGGAAAGTGTAAATGCCAACTACGTTGCACTTTCCATGACTTTTTGTGTTTGTTCACGTCTTCCCTGGTTGCAGTAAATATTCCTTTGTATAACATGTTGCAGCTCTCGCACTGAAGCACGGAACTGCCTGCGGTTGCAGACATTTCCTTGTACCATTTTATTTATTTTTCTTAAATTTTAAAATGGTGCATTAAGAGGAAAGCTTACCTCGAAAGATAATCCAAGCAAAATTGTAGAAAAGTGAGCTTAAGGCGAAAGTTAATGACAAACGTTCAAGCGGTCACACATTTTAAAATTGAAGGCGCGTACACAGCTGGGAAATGACCTTAAATGATATACTTTTTCTCACATTTAGATAGCATATATAGAAAAATACCTTTGCTCTTACAGTAAGAGAGAAAACAGCTATTAACACTTAACTTTCTCATAAGTATGTTTTTTAGTTGAATTATATATATTGTGATTTTTTTATTTGGTGAATTTTTTTTTAATTTAACACGTCAATTTTTTTTTATATTTAATTTAATACATTTTTTTTTTAATTTAACACGTATAAATTTTTTATTTCATTTGTAAAAACTCTACATTCAACCGTTCTAAATAAAATCGAGAAGACTGGTATAGTACGTTACTTCCACTTAGCCTACTGAACTTTTTTACTGCTTTCACTGCTAAATGAGCAATTTTTAAGTGCTAAATAAATGCACATGAGTAGTGTAGTGAAGCACTTTTAAGCCTCTGTCAGACCATTTCTTCCTTACATTTCTTTTTTTTTATGTATTTTTATTTTTATTTTTTTTGGTTTTTCACGAGGTTTCTAAATCTAT